TGTCGTTGCAGAGCCCCAGACTTCGACATTTCAGGTCGAAACGCCAAATTAAATATTGCAAAGAGAGTTTTCTTATACGCTGAATACGAGGACAGACATGCGGCTCTATATCTATCTTTTTTTTTTCTTTCTTGCTCTCCATTGGCTGCGTACGGTGCGCGTTGCGAGCGATACAGGTCGATTCAGCGTGCAAAAGTAACGAGAAACTGCAGAAGAAATTTTCTAAGCGAAACCTTTGCTTTGCGCATGATATTAAATTTATTTTGACATTTTTAAAATGATTTATTTAATGAATTCGTATAGGCGTCTTTTAAAGAAATAATCTATTAAACTTTAATTGCTTTTTATCTCAATAGAAAGCTTTTCCTTTAGAAAATTTGGAAATATCAAGGAACTCTCGAACTCCTTTATTCCACTTTTTTAACCCTTAAAAATGCAAACAAGTATTAAACAAGAGAATTATCATTAAATTTCTTGTCCAGCTTACTAGTCTTATGACATAAATTTGAATTCTACTTCAACAACTAAATCAGCATCATCAACTAATTTGAAAGTATAATTAAATAGAAATTTAGTTCTTAAGGGTATAAGATTTCATATTTTCTCATTCATCAATGAACCCCAAGCTTTCGAAAGCACATATTGAGTATTCAATATTCTTACAAAGCATCATTCGTCATCAATTAAAATTTCTTTTGACACTCATTGTCATAATTCTTAAACATTCACAGAAAAGTCCAACAAAAATTTAATATTTAATATCCTTCTATTATGATCTTCATTTTCAATAAAATTTCTTTCCAAAATCCAGAATCTCGGGATAGAAAAATTCGTTCGAAATTTCTCATTAACTTTTCGCGCGTTGAATCGCTCTGATGGAGTGATAACGATTCTCTCACGCCTCGCACGTGCACCGTATACGACATATGTATGTGGATATAGGGGGTGTCACATTTTAATCTATAAATGCAATTATCTCTGAAACAATTCGTCACTGAAAAAAATGCCTGAAATACAATTTGTTCTCTTTTGAGAGGACAGTAATCTCATACATTTAATCCTCGCATCAACAACCATGAATAACCATTTCTAAATTTTCTCCTCATCTTGTTACATAAACAAATATATTTTTAATATTTTCCTCACGTCGATTTGTGCTTCGAAAATAAAACGTTTACACAAAACATTGGAATATTAAAGTATGAAGAAACCCAAATATTTAAGTTCCTGCCAATTAATTTGTCTCTAGGTGTAGGTGTATAGTAAATAGGAAGCTCATTACCATTTTCTCAATTACAGTCATATAATTTCATTCACATCAACAGATCCTTCTTAACAAACAACTGTTAACACGTTGACCGCCACGAAAAATTCCAGCGTTTTATGTATCACTTATTCTTTCGTAGCAAAAACAAAAAGGAATAATTATCAATTATTTGTTACACGATCATTAGGTCACACTATAATCCATTTGAGTTATTCAATATTTTCATTTGACGTCAGTTGTGTTACGAATTGTAATTGTTTTCGAGTAATTTGAAAGTTCCGGTCATCGGTGGCCATCGTGACAGTCAACGTGTTAATCTATTTACAATAAAATCAATAAAACACTAGATGAAAACAGTAGGAATTCCGTTTCAGGCGTTTCTTGGATAACGATTAGCTCCTGAAATAATTGCATTCATAGATTAAAACGTGACAACCAGTATATAAGTATACAAGTCTATATACCAAGGAGTTGTTTTCACTTGCATCCACTTGCTTTTGGAATGAGGCTGATCGGCGCTCGCTCGAACACGTTTTCCGGCAACTCTGTAACCACACCTGCGTCGCTGTGTCCTTAGTGCATATAAAACCCTGACTGGGAAGTGTATAGCTCCGTTTTAGTGATCGTTTTGTACCGTCGCCTAGGCGAACGTCACTGTGACGCACGCCCACGCGCTACGCCCAGCTGCGGAGAGTGGTTCCGCCGACTAAACGGAGACCCCGGGGAGGAGAGAACGCGTGTTTATCCACCGTCTACCTCCTAATTTCTACAACGCGCTCCTTGATCATGATCCATGCTGTAATTTGTAGCGCGACTTTCGCTGTCTGATGTACAGGGAGCTGATGGTTACTTTGGAAAGTGATCTCCTATCGAGGAAACGGGTAAATGTGCAAACGTGGCTTTCCACAGTTTTCACTGTTTTAATTATTGAGTAACGAAAACGTGGTTTTCGATAGTTTTGACTATTTTAATTATTGACTAATTAAAAAGTTGTGTGTACCAATTAAAAAAGTGTTTTGACTGTTTTAATTATTGAGTAACGAAAACGTGGTTTCGATAGTTTTGACTATTTTAATTATTGACTAATTAAAAAGTTGTGTGTACTAATTAAAAAAGTGTTTTGACTGTTTTAATTATTGAGTAACGAAAACGTGGTTTTCGATAGTTTTGACTATTTTAATTATTGACTAATTAAAAAGTTGTGTGTACTAATTAAAAAAGTGTTTTGACTGTTTTAATTATTGAGTAACGAAAAAGTGGTTTTCGATAGTTTTGACTGTTTTAATTGTTGAGTAAGTAAGAAGTGGCTTCCTCGGATTTTGACTGTTTACATTAGTGATTAATTAAAAAGTAGCTTTCTCGAATTTTGACTGCTTAAATTATTGATTAATTAAAAAGAGGCCTTCCCCAATTTGGCTATTTAAAGTACTGATTAATTAAAACGTGGCATTCCCCAATTTTGACTGTTTAAATTACTAACTAATTAAAAAGTGGCTTTCCACAATTTGGATTGCTAAAATTAGCCAATAATTATAGTAACTGATTAATGCATATTTTGTTAATATAATAAGATAACTTGTAACTAATTAATCCAGACATCAGCTAAACCAAAGACATACTATTTTCTGAGTAGAAGAAGTTAACAAAATGATTGTAGCAAATAGTTTAAAACTGGGAAATTATAGCACATTTACCGGGAAACGAATTTTGATGAATGTTTTTACGAAAAGATTTTTCACAAGGTTATCTTATATGTTTAAAATTCAATATGTATCATTTATGAATTATGTGAATGATGAATGATAAAAGAAGTATGTGTAAAATGTCCTTGTGAGAGATAATTTCTGATGAAGCTTCATAAAAATTGATTGCCCTTGATAGCAGATATTTTGACTTAAAAAATTCATTCTTCTCCGAAGTTTGATAAAAAAAAATGAAGAGCATTCCATAACGAACTTATGTTTACTTTTCAAATATTATCACGTAGAGTTGAAATATGGAATTTTTTAAAAATAGAAACTAATATTCTGCTGAACTTTAAAGCAATTTCCTTAATATACATATTATTATTATGAACAACTTGAATTTTTCTCAGTAAACTTTTTTAATTTCAATTCAATATTTAGAGCACTCCCAAAATTGCAATACTTGTAGTGTAATTTAATACAAAGATCTTGTCATTTAGTATAGTTTAATACACAAGACAAACTCTTAACACACTTATTAAAAGAAAATCAATTAACTTTGCAGTATCTGTACTCTATTAAATATTTCAATAATTCCAGTTAATTTTTTAATGTTTATTTTTTAATCAAACTTTGTGTACATTTCATAAGTACTATAATCAGTTCGACATACCCAACACGATCATGTAATTTCATCGAGGGCCGCGAGTAATTTAAAAAAGACGAGATCCCATAATGGGAATTGTATGTTCGAATGTATTATGAAACTCGATGTTATAACTCTCTCTCTCTCTCTCTCTCTCCCTCTCTATATATATAAGACGAGGAAAAGGCGAGCAGTCGCGAAGAGTACATTACAGAAAGTTTTCTCGTTAACTTGCTCGCGGGAACTTGATTCCCGTATGACTCCGATCAGCATCAACGTCCCTGTACACACGCATACAGTACTGTTGCGGCAGTCACGAGCCAGTCGACAAATGGGTAACACTTAGTTACTGTACTGTGTTAAGTCGCAGTAGAATTGTTAACGTAGTTTGTTTGAAAGGGGTCCATTCATTTCGCTCCGTACCCTTCGTTCGCGAAACCGAATTTTCCCTTAAACTTCGTACGATCGAAAAGCTTCCGAGTGATAATCGAGCTTTACTTTCGGTTTGGATGGGGATGGTGAAAGCTCCAATAAATTAGTGAAAGATTCATTGGTAAAGTTAGTAAAGTTAGGAAGATTAGTAAGATTACTAAAGTTAGTAAAGTTAGTAAAATTAGTAACATTAGTAAAATTTAAATTTAAATATTAGTAACACTAGAACAAATATTCAGCACATTAAATTTTTTTTTTGTAAAGCATTAAGTAATGAAATTTATGATATTGTATTAACAGTATCTGATTGTACAATTAAAACATTGAAATAGATTTGATTCATAAAAATCGCAGCACGAATTCACAATTAAATCAAATCAAGTTCATAATTCATTA